GAAGGCAGTCTAAACAAGCATGTTTTTTTGGACTTATCTTGTTTATGTACATCACATTACCTCCCATTCTTTATCCAAACCCTACAAACAGACTGGTGGGATGTGTTAAAGGTGTAACAGTGCTTTTTCGGACTGAAGGTCTGAAAAATTGGTGCCTCTTTAAAAAATATTAAATCAGAGACTCTGTTTTATTTTTTTAACCAAAACTAACCTTGTCACAAACTAAAAACGAGTGTTGTAATGTTTATTAGGACTTTATAGACCTGTTGCGATAAGCAGTAAATCTTTTATTCGCACAATAAATGAAAATGAGGTTTATAATTTTAATTTGCCTGCTTGTTTGTTTTCTTCTGGTCTCCCTCTTTTTTTACTACTTAGCGTAGGCAGGAGTGAAGTTCCACATCAGATATTTGCCAGGCTCATGGTCTCGTAACCTCTATAGCATGAGAGCCGCACGTGAAAATGCATTTAGCTAGAGGAGAACTTTTGGTTTTCCTGATGGCTTCTTTTAGCTGGCGAAGCCTCGGGACAATGTGCCGAGCCTTGGGTTCACAAAAAGGTTTTTTTTGTGTGTGTATTTTTAATGCTCCGTAAATTTTCCATGTAAAAAAATGAATCAACACAATCTGCTGGCTTCTTTAGATTTATTGTTTTTTTAATTATTATTTTTGTTTGTTGTTCTTTGTGTGTACAGTGCCCTGAGACAATGTTTGTTGTGCTATATAAATGAACAGAATTAAACTGAATTAAATTATATTTCATAAACTTGCGTAAACTTTGTAAGCATGCTTATGAAGACAGATGCGGAATGTGGAATATCGCAAATCTACTCAATACTGCAATCACAAATTTTTTTATTGGATGTTCACTGATATAACTTTTAAATTACATTTGGAGAGTGGGGTGTTTATGTATTTTTATTATTAATTGCAAAATGTTTTATATAATTTTTATTTTTCCGTTTTTTTTATTTCTTATTTCTATTACTGTTGGATGATGTTTTGTTTTTACTGTCTGGAGGGACTACAGATGTGAATTAGCCTTAGGCTAGATCTGGTGCAATGCATCAAATGTTTTTTTATGTTTACATTTTAATTGCACACTGTCCTGACTAAATAAATAAATTCATTAATTAATTCACGAAGACACGTAAAGAAGAAAATTGTGTCAGTTTGGATAAAGGAGGTGAGTGATGTTACAACTTCAGCAGCTGTTTTTGTGCAGTGTTTTCACAACTTTACGTAAGTTTCATAAACTTCTGTAAATTTCGAAAACGGAGTGAGGGTGACCACAACTACTTTATGAAGCCAGAGGAAGACACATACGGAATAAAACGCACCGGCTTGTTGTGAGGAGGTGGGTTTCAATTTTACGGTCTCTGGTCCAGGCGAAATTGTAACTTTTTTTTAACGTATATGTAAATTTCATAAACTTTTGTAGGCTTCATTAGCGTGCGTGGGGGTGGGGTGTGATAATCAGTTTAAAATTGTCTTCAAACAATATTATCGTTTATCACTTTGTATAACCTGAGTGCTCAGTGGGAAATCCTTTAGCACCTGAAGACAGCAAGTAGCTAAATTACACATTTTTAATGTTAAGTGTGATGGAAACCTATCTTTGTACCACACTCAGGCTATCTTATTAAACACACACGGGTCTGGTTTGTAAACCCCTGTGGGGACCGTGCATTGACTTCCATTCATTTTTTGGAAATTTTATAGCCTAACCCTGCCAATTTACCCTAATACTAACCTCACAGGTTACCTGACCCTAAAAATAACCTAAACTCAATTCACACATTGGTCCTAAACCTAACCTCCAACCCGTAATTTGGATTTGGACGATGCACGTTCGGTCCCCACGAGGCTGCTTTTTCCGGACAATTGTCCTCACGATGTAGGAAAAACAAGGCCACACAGACACGCAGAAGTATCCACTGCTTGGGTTTCAATGACCAGTCACAAAAATACCTCACATCCCACAAAAGGGCAGTGTCCTCTTTCCTCATCTGTTTGCTCAGAGGCAATGCCTTTGGTGGTTTCAGGTGAGTATTAACCAGATTTTACGATGTGTGTTTTATTGGGACTGCAGTGTGTAGTAAAATAGCTACACCCTGTGTGATAACAAAACCGATCAAAACACAGACGAAGTTGTCATGGCAGTTTGTACAGAGAGAAATGTCACAGCAACCGGATGAAAAGGTTTGTTGGCTCCGGTGCCAGCAGACTCTCTGGTCAGTCCACTTTGTAATTTGGCCAAAAAGCTCTTAAATGTCTGGAATCCCTGTGTTTAAGAGTTTTAGGTTAAACAGACCGTTGCTTAAAAAGGTCAAAGGAGGAACACAGCAAACCCTGATACACATCATCAGGTACTAATGCCACTGATGAGCACCTGACTCAGCCAACTATTACCTCACATCTACAGTACAGAGATGACGACATCATCCTAAAAGGTCCTTATAAGTCAGTATTAAATGACAGGTAACATCTCATTCTATTGCTATATATAGGAGAGATGAAGTCAACGACACTCTGACTTATTCAGAGCTACCATCATAGAGAAACACATAATGATCCTAAGGTATGATCACATCTGAAAAATGAGCATCAGACTCAAAACTCTTAGACAACCTCAACAATCTTTAGTTTATCCAACTAAAGAAGTTTAGTTTCTAAAACTAAATAAAAACCAGTCATTCCTCGAAGGAATGCTTACCGCCTGCTGCTTATGCAAGAGTTATAAACTAAAATCGTCTCATGATAAGAAATTAATGAATTAAACTAGCCGTTTTGATCAAACATTGTAAATTAAATTTTGTGCAGTCTCATGATATTTTCAACATCCAGCGAGATGTGTGTGTTTCGAGTACGTTTCTTTTTAATGATTCTTAGCATAATAAATTTTACCTTATCTGCAGAATTACCTAAATTATTGCAAGTTTTGTGTGGGCTAAAGCTTAGATTCAGCTATAGGAGCATGAAGCTAATGTTTACTCACAATGCTAATGCTCTCTTACTCTGGCACTCAAGAGGTAGAGGAGCCAAATGGCTGGCTCACTGCTGCCAACTAGCGGTCAGAGGCTAAACTACAACATAAAAATGAATGGCTGGCAGGAAAGTTGACATTTTAAACCTTAAAAAAATCGATACAAGGCTTTAGGATATCGATACAGTATCGGGAAATGAAATATCGCGATATTTCAGCGTATCGATATTTTCTTACACCCCTATTGTAGAGACGCACCTGTGATTATTTTCTGGGTGTTTTGTTTAAAATGTTTCAGTGGTTCATGAGAGTTTTTGCTACCAGACAGAGAAACAAATGCACACGCACAGGCAAAAAACATATGCCCTTTCACCTTTGGCTGGACAACTTTGACTTCTAATTTGCTATGCTGCTAAACTGATATTCAGGTTTCCTCTTTGGTTTATATTCAACAAATCAAGTTCACAGATAGAGCACAGAAACTAAAAGAGTGTAGGGAGAAAGGTCCAAAAACACAAGTGAATTCTTTAAATTAACCCTAACAATAGGCTACCAGAAAGGACAAATAAAGTGAAAAACCAAATCCAAACATTTTTTTCCTCATGTGTCCTTAAACTCAACATTTGTAAGCTTAATCTACAAACAGCTGCCAACAACAACATGTTTGTTTACCTACAGAAACAACTGAAGTGTCTGTAAATCAGTCAACAATGAGGTCTATGGAAAAGCTTAGATGAAGTAACCTGACAGATTTGACAAAGTGATGCATATTTACACTCAGATTTGTTGAGTATATAGTAAGCAAAATGCTTTGTTTATGCTGAGGGCAGACACGCATTTCATATGGATGATGATGATGTCATACATCTAACCTACCGGAGTGAACTCCCTAAACTGCACCATTTTATTGTTCAGATAATCTTTATTTTATTCTATAGTTTGTAATAAGTACCTTTAAAAGTAAAGATTTGGTGGCATATTGTAGGGATGTTGACATTTCGTCAGCAGCTGCTGCCATTTTCTTCCCAAACTGCTGTGATCAGATTTTGCACGGCTGCTCTGTGCGTTTGCTTGTAATTTCCTCCTGCTTCGTTATTTCTACGAATTTCAACAAATCGGGCTGCCATCAGGTAGTCAGCTACAGCCTCATCTTCGAGTTTTTAATTTTTGTTGATGCGTTTTGAAGAGACAATTTTTTGAAAAGAGGATCAAAGTAAATCACCCGACTTTTTCTAGTGACCCCTTAAAGAGATAAGCTGCCATGAAGAACATTATTTTATCTGCCCTTCTTCCAAATTTGAAAATGATTTGAAACGTCAAAGTATGTTTTTTTTTAAATCCAGAACAGCGCTTGTTGCAAAGTGTTTTGATGCTCGTCTTCGTCACTTGACACATTTAACACGCTGTCATTGGTTGAGGAGCTTTGTTTACAAAACAGATGTCCACATGGTTTTTAAATTGTTTTAATTTCCTTATTTTCTAAGACACATTAAGTTGATTTGATGCTACAGTTTGCCTTGTAATGTTATTTTATGCCTTTTCTGCTTCTTTTGAATTGGCTATTATTAAGTTTTATTAGGTTTTTTTTTAGGATACAAGATGCTTCCTACAAAACCAGAATGGGAATCTTTTCCTAAAATTTCATGGCGATATCTTGAACATTGAGGAAGTTATGAGCAAAATTAGAAAACAGCAAGGTGAAATGGTCACACAGGCCCCATTGGTGAACTGCAGCAAGAAAACATGAGCTGATTTCACCTAAACAAACATCAATTACTTCCCTCATACTTCCGATCATCACATGATTTTGGTGTTATTTTGTTTGGTTTGAAATGTTCTTTTAAGAATCCGCTGTCAGATTTAATATTGGTGTAGGATAAAAAAATGTATCCACATCCCTACATATTGAAGATAAGCAGGACAAACTATAAGCTAATTTTAAGACCCAAAGTTAAATGACGTCACTTGTTTATTATGTGCCATGTTCACCTTGAAACTGTTATTTACAGACTTACCCTGAAGGCGGTTTGGAGGACTCCGTCATTATCAGGGTCTCTCTCCTCCTCGGGGTTCCCCAAATCCAACGTTGCTTAATGGATATCCATTACTGCATCACCTGTACCTGGATATCACATTAAATTAGTCTTCAGGACGTCGTTCTCTCTCACATGATGGACTCCCACAGTCTGAACGCGCTGCCGCACAGAAAACCACCAAAGGTAATTCTCAAAGGTAAAAGTTCACGGTGACCAACCAGCAATCAAAAATCCGTCACTGTTAACTACGACACAGGATAAGATATACGCTCGTATTTATTTTAAATTTACATGAGTTCACGTCGCTTCAGTCAAAAATAAAAACGGGCTTACTCAGTCTCTCCGTGGGTCCAGTTAGTTGTCAAATCCACTTGTTGTAATCCCAGTTGTCCCTCTGACTGAACTCAAACGCGTCAAGTTGTCTTCAGTAAATAAAACCCACGAAAATCATTTCCGGGAAAACGTTTCAAAATAAATGTTAACCTACGCTGACTTTGAAATCTTAAAAACCAAGGTTAAGTTATCGCGTATTGTTAACGAGTCAATTTTCCAGTACTTGTAATGTTAGTTTGGAAGAAATGCAAGTAAACTAAAGTAAAACTTAAGTTGTTGGATTTCTTCTTTTTAATGCTGTCGAACAAACATTAGGTACGCCATGTTCATAGAAATAGAAACCTTGAAACTTAAATTTTGTAATTTTTTTGTGTCAGTTTTTGCTTATAAAAAATGAAAATGGCCATCAGCATTTTAATCTGAATGACTAAGCTTATAATAACTCATAAAACGTGGCCTATGTTTAAAAATGTGGAATTTTGGACTTATTACCATATCTTTCCAAGAACATGAACAAGACTTCACCCACCACCTTGTCATGTCATACATTGTTTAATCTAAGATCATTTTATATTGAGAAATATTATACAAAGTTGATAGAGAGGAACGTTGGTTTGAGAGAGGAGTAAAAGAAGCCATTTTTGTGAAGAAAGACCGTCCATCTTTAAACAGAGGTGGAGGCCTCTGTTTTCAGTTGTCCCCCTCCTACAGCGYGGCTATTGCCAGTATCACTCCACCCCMTGTTAACAATAAGTGTTAATTAGGTGTCAACGATAGCCATGTGATGTGAGTATCAGTCACATGGAGGCAGAGCTTAAAAGCCTGAATTTTGCCTGAAACTCTCAGACTGAAGAAGTCTCTTGGAGGAGAGACGAAACGTTTCATTARAGAAGAACCCGTCCAGAAGACCTATACAATTTTTTTTCTTTTTGATTTTTTGTCTGGATTACTGAGATGCATCAGGACAAAGTTGTAGCTGTTTTGGTCAAACTTTAAAAATAACCATGCACAGTTTCACAGTCATGCTTTAAAGTAATTGTAGCTAGATGACTCTAAGCTATCACACCAAATTTTAGGTAAACCTGACTGAATTGCAGCTTATTAAAGTTAGTCTTGGCTGCCTTCTTGAATCAAATTGATTCCAAAGGCTAACCAACTGTAGATGTACATTTGATTATAACTATCTCAAAGTTTCATTAAAATGCATCCAGTGGTTCATGAGATATTTTGCTAACAGAGATGCAGTAGTTGTATTTAACAACATGATCAATCTTTGATAAGTAGTTTTTTTTCTTCTTCAAGTCCACTAAAAATGGTTCTTATTTGAATAGTCACAGAAGCCTTAGGTTCACAAAAGCTATGCCTGATCAAGTTGTTTCATGGCTTCTTCAGTGGAAATGGGCTTTTATTTTGAAGGCAGCGTCTGACGGTTTCCTGTCTCTGTGCCTAAATTAAATGACTTGAAACTGTTCCCTGATCCCGCCTTCGTCAGCACATCTCATGCCAATCATCGTGAGCGCCAGCTGGAGAGCGGCGGTGCAGAAACAGCTGAATTAAATAAACGTGTTCTTCTTTTTGGTCACCTCAACACAGCCTTTATGAGTCTCGTGGACCTATAACACTAACACAAATATTTATAGAACAATCTAAAACTTTAAAACTCCCGCCTTGCTTTTTGTTTGTTTTTCCACATGTCAACAAAAATAGCCTGGAGTGATTGTAATGCACCGTTTCGCCACAAGATGGCGCCCTTTCAAAATAGTTTTGTTTGGAAAGTTGTTAAAGTAGTCACGTCCTCGCTCTGTTAGATGGTATTTTTAAACGTCATTATTTCGCACCCCCTTCGCACTATTGAGTTAAGATATATTGTTCGCTAGGAGGAAGTTTGTTACTCTTAAAGGACACCAGAGATGTAAGGGTGGTTTGTAAACATTTTTTTCTTTCCAAGAGAGGTCAGAGGAACGGTTACAGGGAAAATACTGCAAAATCCTTTACAGTAAGTAACTCCTGTCTTAAAATGTTATATTTTGAACATTTTAACAATTTAGTGGGCGTTTGGACTTCCTCTTATTTTAGCCTGATCTCTATTTCTTAAAGGGAAGAAAAGAAGTCAATGTCAGAGCCAACACAACTAAACTAGAATTAAAGTTCCAGGTTAGATTTTTATTTGTAGGCAAGGCGCCAGAAGAAGTGGGGAAACACTGTAGTTGTAGGTTTGTTTGTTTTTGCAGGGCAGTGGTTCCCAAGGTTAGAGTCCGGACTCCTTTGTGGGGTCACAAAACATCAGATGAGGGTCCCCAGATGATTTCCAGACATCAACTGAAATGCTAAAAATAAATAAATAAATAATATAAAAAAAAGCTAATGGAATATTTTTGTGATCATTGCAATTTTTTGAAAATAATAATCACAAATGCATAAAATTAGTTATTAGGTTTGTTTATTGTTATTATACACATGTTTGACAGAGTTATTAGCAAAGTTTGCATACGTAAACAAATAATATCTGGGGTCAGTGTCTGCAACTGTTATTTTGTGGGCTGGAAAAGTTTGAAAACTGGTTCATAGATGCTACAGAGAAAGAGGGACAAAACTTGTGCTTCAGAAAGAACCTTTAATAGCAACAGGATGTTTTTGTTTATGTCTTAACACACACACCCACACACACACACACACACACACACACGTCACCATTTTTCTCAGTAAATATATTACTGAAGTGTTAATGACATGAAATTTTCACCAGATGTC